GACGCGGGGCCCTACCAGGAGCGCTCAGCCAGCCGCAGCTGGCTCCGATTGGCCAGTTATCTCCCCCCGCCCTCCGCGTTGGCCCGCCCCCCTGACAGACTGACACGGGACCCAACCAGGAGCGCGCCGGAGCCGCAGCGGGCGCCGATTGGTCAGAGCCGCCGCTGCGTGGGTACTTAAGTAGAGCCCAGCCCAGGCTCTGTCCGAGCAGAGCAGGTGGGTGCCGGGCGTCGTGTCGTCGTCGTGCGGTGCGGGGCCGGCCTGCGCGAAGGTCTTCCGTGCTTCTAACGTCCTGAGAGCCTGGCCGATGCCCGCGAAGGGTCAGCCCGGGCCGCGGGCACGGCGGCGGCACCTCCCCCCTCCCCGGAGTCCTGCTCACAGCTGGGCCCCGGTTTGGGTCACAACTCTGAAAAAAAAAAAAAAAAATACAAAAACACCCTGCTCACTTAAAGAGTATGAAGGACATAAGGTCGGCTGTCGGGGTTGTGAAATGTTCTACAACCACATGGCGGCGATGGTTGCCCAACATTATGAATGGACAAATGCCACTGAATCGTACCCTTTAAAATGATTTCAATGGTGAATTTTATGTTGTGGGAATTTCACCAGCAAACAAAGCCAAAAACGGAGGGCCTCCTGACACATGGAAATGTGGAACACGCAGCATCTAGAAACAAGGCGGTGGCCTTAGCAGAAAAGGGGGGCAGCGCCGGGGGGAGGGGGGATACGGATGTTGACCCCATCACTTCCTCCACGTGTGTGACCTGAGGCCAGTCTGTTTCTTGATCTGCCAAAGGACAGCTGGGATAAAGCGGATTGTCTCTCACCAAACACAGCTTTTGCCAAATATGTGACGAACATCTCGTTTTGTCTCATGCCAGTGTTCAGAGGTGGCAACTGCTCACTCCATTTTGCAGAAAAAGAAATAGAGACTCAGAGAGGTGAGATTCCTTCCCCCAAGTCACACAGCACATTCAGCACCCCCACTCTGAGGGGGTCATCTGAGCAATGGGAACAGTCCAAACCGAAAAACAGGCTGGCTTTGAAGTTACTCGATTTAAGTGCTCTACGCTCTGTGCGGTCTGGAGTCCCCTTTCTAAAATGCCACATCCTCGGATACGGCAGCAAGGCTGTCCTGCCTCTGATAGAGCTCGGATAGCGGCCGGGTTCCGTGAACCTCCGGGCTGAGTTTGCCACAGGCAACTCCCCGTCCAAACTACAGGTTCAGTGGAGGTTTCATTCGAGTCCCATCACCGTCACCTAGTGAGCTCCTCCTGGCGTCCGGGAGGCCAAGGCCCAGCTGTGTACCCACCAGCTGCCTGGCAGGAAATGGCTCTGGTTGTAAAGAGGAGGTTCACCTGCAGCGGCATACCCCCACCCCCTTCCTTAAGGGTAAGATCAGGAAGCTGTCCTAATCGGCTACTTTCTGTAGCAGGTTCCGGAGACTGTCAGACCTCACTCTTGCAGGATCGGGGACAGCACAGAAGCCTGAGAGAGGCCCCAGAGTCCAGGAGAGACTTCCCCGGCCAAGCTCTTGCCTCCTGGGCAGGCAACCCCCTGCAGACCTTGGTGCCCAAAGGGCTGAGCAATCTTAAAGTACCTGCCACTGGTTTTAGCCTGAAGGTGCTTTTAGACTTGGCTGTTTCCAAGGATTTTCACACACGCGTTTTTAAAACCTTGGATTCTGATGAAAGCAGGCCTTTGGGGCTTGCAGCGCTAAGAACAGGGGGAGGAAGCCCCGGCCCAGCCCCGACTGGGAAGTGGCCGACCCGCCCCCACCGGCCTGCTCGGTCTGGGGACACCTCAGTCCCGGCTTGCTGGAAAGGGGTGAGTCACTCTGGTCGTCGGGCGGCTCAGGGGATTCCCACTCAGGTTCCTTCCTGCCAAAAAGAAAGCAAAACTCCACCCGAGGCAGCCACAGTGGGAGGGCCCAGGGAGGGCCCGGGACAGCCCCAAGCAGCCCCAGGAAGGCCCGCACCGTGCTCGCCCTGCTCCCTGAAGGCTGGGGTCTGGGAGGCCGCAGAAGGCCACCGTCATGGACCTCAGCGCCCCCCAGAGAGAGGCATGGGCCGGCTGCAGATTGGGGTTCGTGCTGCGGTGTGAACACTGGCTGCTCCGGGGCAGGAGGGCCCATCGGCTGCCAGTGAGTCTCTGGACTCCCGCACTCGCTCCACTCGATGGCCCGAGCTCCAGAGGGCAGGCAGCCCCTCTGTTCTCCTTTCCCACGGGGTCATCTGTGCCCAGGGACACCTCTGAATGCGGCACCTCCTCTCCCAACAGGCTGCTCCTCTCAGAGGCCTCATGTCCTTTACTCGGGCTTGTGCGCGTGGAGCCTGAGGCAGGAGGGCTGACCCAGGCCCCCGCTCGGGATCCGGACACGGGAGGTCCCTCCTGTGCCCAGCACTGTCCCCAGAGGAAAGGCCCCCCCCACTAAGAACAGGCTACCTTACCAAACACAACCCAGTTTCTGTCCTGTCTCGTTTCTCAGACATGAGAAGGCTCCCCCTGGGCAGCAGCTTCCGAAAGACACCCGGTTTGCTCTCACTGTACCGTCATCTGACAGAACCTTTCTAGAAAGGCCGGCCGGGAGGGGCGCCCCCCCGCCCCCACCCCCCCCAACAAAGTGCACACCTGCCGCAGTCCCTCTCCCAGGGCAACCCCCTCAGAAAGGAGAAACGCACGGGTGGTGAGGCTCGTGCTAACTTAACAGCAGCAGGGCGGGGGCGTCCCAGAGCTGCAGAGAGGAGGCGGAGAAGCCGGCATCCTGAAGGGTCAGCCCAGGGCTGGCCCCCAGCAGTGACCCCGTGCCGAAGTCGCTCGTGGTGACCCACATGTGCAGAACACAGCGTCCTCTGGGAGCAGAGGCGGGCGACAGCTTCCACGCCCACCTCAATTCCCTGTAGACTTGGAAAGAGACGCAGAAAGTCGTAAGAGTGGTGAGGGGGGAAGAGGAGGGGACACGTTCACTCTACACCACCCCACGTTTTAAAACCCACCCGATGATATTACCAGTTGAAAACCGTGTGTGTTTTAAGCAACAGAAGGTCACTTCAGAAGCTCTGGGAAACACAGAAAAGTACCACGGAGAAACCAAAGATCACCCCCAATTCTCCCACCCGGAAGCACACTCCCTCCGCAGAGGTTCCCTACTCCGTTTAGCACCCACCTCCCTCCAGCCAACCTCAGAACAGAAATGCCACACCATACCCCAGAGCCAAAGGCCCAGGCCACAACCTCACGGGCAGAATTTAAAATGCCCAGTCTGGGCGCACCTGGCTGGTTCATCCAGGAGAGCATGCAACTCTTGATCTCAGGGTTGTGAGTTTGAGCATAGAGATTACCTTAAAACCAAAACCAAAAACCAAAAAACAGCCCAGGCTGCCCGGGGCATCTCTAGCCTCTGCTCACTGGGCAGGTCTAGCCCCAGGGCATTTGCACCAGCCAGGCCCTTACCGGGACCAGCTCCCTTCCTCTCCCAGGCACTTGGCAACCCCCTGAGCCCTCTGCAGGCCTTAGAAGGTCTCCAGGTAGAGGAGTCTCTCTCCTGGTGGCCTTGAGTTAAGAGGGATCTTCCTCCCCACATGCCATGTAACTCAAATCAGGTTGTAGGTCTCTTCCCCAGATATGGGTCCCTGTTTGGCAGTGGTCCCTTTGGCCACATTCGGGGCTCAGTTCCTGGCTCGTTTTTGTTGGATAGATGAAGGCACGATCCGGTAACTAATGGCTGGACAGAGTTCCAGAGTTCGGGTCCCCAGGGCCGTCTTTGGAGCCTGATGCCACTGCCCTCCTCCTGGCCCACCTCGCCCCTCCCCAACGGGCACAGCAGCAGGTCCGCAGCCGCCCTCTGCCGGGCCCAGCTGGAACTGCAGCCCGGGCCCTGAGGGCGCCGAGGGCGCCGCGAGCACCTGCTCTCTCCAGGGACCTTGCTCGGATTGCCTCATTTCAAACGTGCAGACCGTGAGGTGGCTTTGCTCACACTCGCACCCACCAAGTTGGTCACCCGGCCAAGGTCCGCAGCCCCGTCTCTGGGAGGCTCCAAGTGGCCCTCCCAGGGTCTCTCCACCCCGCCACTGCGGGCTCTCCTGGGCCCACCGCCGCTGCCCTCTGCAGTGGGGCTCCCCCTGTTCAGCTGTAACCCTGAACCCCAGCATTCTTCAGCCCAAATGGGACCTCCAACCCTGGTCCTCCCACCTGTCCACCGTCTTTCCTTGCCTCCCTAGACCCCAGGCCACACCTGTCAGCCCCGCCCCCCTCCAGCCAGCTGGCATCTCTCTCTCCCAGTGACCATCTGCCGATGCCCTGTCCCCGCTTGGTCTAGGTGGTCCTACCCCCTGACGCTGACCGGGGCTGAAGGGAGTCGCTCCCCGGTGCCCGTGCTCCCTCACAGGGTGACCTCCCTGCCTTGTCCTCCTGCACACGGGGCCTTTCCAGTCCTCCCGGCCTGCTGGGGAACCGGACACTGGTTGGATCCTTTTTAATCTCCCTCCTGCACAGAACCGAAGAATATTCAGTGATGGCAAGCAGTACAAATATTCCTTGGCTGAACCTCACGTAAACAATCATGCTGGTAAGAAAGGGAAATGCGTTCGACAGAAAATACGAACGAGGATAGGGGCGCCTGGGTGGCTCAGTCGGCTAAGCGTCCGACTTTGGCTCAGGTCATGATCTCATGGTTCGTCCTCCGCCGGGCTCTGTGCTGACAGCTTGGAGCCTGGAGCCTGCTTTGGATTCTGCGTCTCCCTCGCTCTTTGCCCCTCCCCCACTCACGCTCTGTCTCACAAATAAACATTTAAAAAATACAAACAAGGAAAAAATGATGGATTAGAAGTTTCTTTACATTGTTGTATTTTTTCTTTTTTTTTTTAATTTTTTTTTTCCCAACGTTTTTATTTATTTTGGGGACAGAGAGAGACAGAGCATGAACGGGGGAGGGGCAGAGAGAGGGAGACACAGAATCGGAAACAGGCTCCGAGCCATCAGCCCAGAGCCGGACGCGGGGCTCGAACTCCCGGACCGCGAGATCGTGACCCGGCTGAAGTCGGACGCTCAACCGACTGCGCCACCCAGGCGCCCCTGTTGTATTTTTTCACGAGCAAGGGAATACTTACACCAACGTACAAGTTTTTTGCTGTAGTGATTGATGTTATAATCCAGTCCGATTTTCCGCCTCAATATCTGCAAATTTGATGCTAAACTGGTCACGACTGATCTGCTTTTTCTTCTCACGTTCAAGAGACAGCCCAGCCGTATTTGTCTATTTTTGCTCACAGTTGGTCCAACTTTTTACTAACCTTAATTTGGGTAATTTTCTTTCGCTCGAAGCCACAGATTAGGGGGAACTTGAAACAGGATACATTTGGGGCGCCCGGGTGGCGCAGTCGGTTAAGCGTCCGACTTCAGCCAGGTCACGATCTCGCGGTCCGTGGGTTCGAGCCCCGCGTCGGGCTCTGGGCTGACGGCTCAGAGCCTGGAGCCTGTTTCCGATTCTGTGTCTCCCTCTCTCTCTGCCCCTCCCCCGTTCATGCTCTGTCTCTCTCTGTCCCACAAATAAATAAACGTTGAAAAAAATTAAAAAAAAAAAAAGAAACAGGATACATTTGGCAAAGAGTCATAAAAATCCCACTTTAGGTCATCTTCTGGAAATTGTGACTCGACCGCAAGCAATCCTAGTGGCTTTTGGACATCTCTGCTGCTGAAAAACTGTGAATTAAATGAAAACTCCAAGTGGCCACCCGGAATGACAGGACTCAAATAACTCAAGCGCATTAGTGGCTGTACCGATGTGCTCTGGTTTTCTATTTAACGTTTATTTATTTTTGGGACAGAGAGAGACAGAGCATGAACAGGGGAAGGGCAGAGAGAGAGAGGGAGACACAGAATCGGAAACAGGCTCCAGGCTCTGAGCCATCAGCCCAGAGCCCGACGCGGGGCTCGAACTCACGGACCGCGAGATCGTGACCTGGCTGAAGTCGGACGCTTAACCGACTGCGCCACCCAGGCACCCCTGGTTTTCTATTTAAACACGGGACAACAAAATCCCATCGGGGCTGGAAACACGGTGCACCCAACGTTTAGGAGCTCCCCCTAGAAACAGAGTTGTAGCTGATTTGCACGCATGCAGCGCGTGTCCAAAGATAGGTCTCCATCAGTGTGCTGATGCGAAGTCTACCCACTGGTGCTGAAGTCAAGAGGTATCTGGAGCGGTATTTTATCACTGACGTTATCCGGAATTGGTAGCACGCAGCAGAACTTTTAGCTAGGGTTGTTACGATCTAGCCTCTGGGCCGCAGGACGAGGTGGTGTCAGCGGAGGCGGGCCTGCGGGCAGGGGCTGCACGCTGCAGGACTGGCCGGAAATCCGTGCAAGGACAGCTGGACCCCCGATCTCCTCCCCAGCCAGCGCATCCGGGTGACTTTCCCTTCCTCCCTGGCGGGCAGTGGGCGGTGAATCCCGTGGTTCTCCGGCCTCAGGGCCGCCGGGCTCCCTTGAAGCTGGCAGTAAGGCTAAGCGGGAGACGGTGGGTCAGCGAGATACTGCTCTTTGGGACCCTCGGAAGAATGTGCTGCATCCCAGCCCGATCACCCTGAACAAGAGCCCACCCTGGAAGACCCCGGCACGCCACAAGGCTCCCAGCTGCTCCTCTGCAGTGTGACAGACAGCTGGGGGTTGTCGCACACCTGAGTGAGACACAGACACCAGACCTGATGGGAGGAGAGTAGGGGCGCTGCGGGTGCTACAGGATAACGTGAACAGAGCCGAAATCAGCACCCGCACAGGAGAAGAGCGAAAGCCCTGTGAGACAGGGGGCCCCACCGGGGCACACGGAACATAACCGGGAGCACTTAGAAATGCAAGATGTGCCATCGGGTTAGAGAAAAATGTCTGTAGAACAATTATAAATTGGGGCGCCTGGGTGGCGCAGTCGGTTAAGCGTCCGACTTCAGCCAGGTCACGATCTCACGGTCTGTGAGTTCGAGCCCCGCGTCGGGCTCTGGGCTGATGGCTCAGAGCCTGGAGCCTGTTTCCGATTCTGTGTCTCCCTCTCTGCCCCTCGCCCGTTCATGCTCTGTCTCTCTCTGTCCCAAAAATAAAATAAAACGTTGAAAAAAGAAAAAAAAAAAAAAAGAACAATTATAAATTTCGAAACTCTCCCAAAAGCAGAACAGAAAGAAAAGGAATTAAAATTTTTTTAACATCGATTTTAACATCGATGTTAAAATTAACATCGATTTTAACATCGAGTTTTGAGAGACAGAGTGAGACAGAGAGTGAGGGGAGGAGGGGCAGACACAGAATCTGGAGCAGGGTCCAGGCTCTGAGCTGTCAGCACAGGGCCCGATGCAGGGCTCCAACCCATGAACCGTGAGATCATGACCTGAGCCCAAGTCAGATGCTCAACCGACTGAGCCACCCAGGCACCCCGAGCGTTAGACTCTTAATGCCACAGACTCTACCATCTTAGTAATGGTGGTTTCAGAGAGTGGAAACAGACAATAGAGAGGAAGAAGTTACGAAAGAAATAGCACAAGAGGGCACCTGGGGGGCTCAGCCGGTTAAGCCTCCGACTTCGGCTCAGGTCATGATCTTGTGATTCCTGAGTTCAAGCCCCACGTCGGGCTCTGCATTGACAACTCAGAGCCTGGAGCCTGCTTCAGATTCTGTGTTTCCCTCTCTCTCTACCTCTTCCCTGCTTGTGCTCTGTGTGTGTGTGTGTGTGTGTGTGTGTGTGTGTGTGTGTCTCTCAAAAATAAACATTGGAAAAAATGGAAAAAAAAAAAAAAAAGAAAGAAAGAAAGCCACGTCATGAAATTGCAGGAAAAGGAGGGAGGATAGAAGATTCTGAAAACTTTCAGAGAGTGAGAGCAAGAGCGAGAGAATGCACCCACACAAAGCAGATCATTCAGAAAGGACTGACAGCCAGGAGACCATGGGACATCTCAACAGAAAGGTGGACGCTAGAAGACAAGGGAACACGCTTTTGAAATCCAAGACAAAACATATTCCAATCTGTAATTCAGGCAATAAAGACACTTTCAAACGTGCTGTGTCTCAAAACATGTGCCTCCCACGTACTCCTGGTCTGAAAGCTCCTGGGACTTTCCTGGGAAAGGAAATGCAATCATAGTGTATTACGGGGATCTGCTATTAACAATATCCATCGAAATGCTGACAAAGGAAATAACCAGTAACTTTTAAGTCAACAATCAGCAAGAGGCACGTTGGTGTGTGGATCCAACCTGACATCATCGGCTTCCATAGGGTATTCCGCCCCTTCCAGGCACCTGTCCACTCCTTAGGCCCTGGCCAGTCCAAAGCACTGCCCACACTCCCCTGGACACCGCCCCAGCCCCACGTACAGGCCCCCGCTCTCCACACTGTGGGCACAGTGCTCTTTGCCAAAGGCAAACTCAGTGGGTCATCCGTGTTCAGATCTCGAAGAGGCCTCTTCTTTGCAGGCGTCTGTCTGGAACCGTCAGACCCACGACACCTTGTGCACTGGAGGTGAAGCCCGGATGTCACCTCCTGTGACGCCTATGGTGGAGACAGCCTGGATATAGCAGCTGGAGGGAAAATTTGAGGGCCCCCTGAAAATAGCCGGAGATGTTATCCAATCTGAAGAGCAGAGCAAATAAAGGTTGAAAAAGGAACGGTGGGACAGACAGAACTACCAGGATCACATCCCAGAGAAAGACAAGACAAAGAGCGGGACAGAAAAATTAAAATATCTAAACACTAGTAAAAATCGTCCCTCTTTTTTTTTTTTTTTAATACTTATTCATTTTTGAGAGACAGAGACGGAGTGCAAGTGGGGGAGGGGCAGAGAGAGAGGGAGACGCAGGATCCGAAGCAGCTCCAGGCTCCCAGAGCCCGACGTGGGGCTCGAACCCACAAACCGTGAGATCATGACTTGAGCTGAAGTCTGGCGCTTAACCGACTGAGCCACCCAGGTGCCCCCAAATCATCCGAATGTGATGAACAACATTAACGTATGTATCCAAGAAGCTCAGGAAACCCGAGTAGGATAAATAAAAACAAAAGTGAGCACCTGGGGGGCTAAGCCTCCGACTTTGGCTCAGGTCATGATCTCTTAGTTCACAAGTTCGAGCCCCGTGTCAAGCTTGAAGCTGTCAGCGCAGAGCCTGCTTAGGAGCCTGTCTCCCTCCTCTCCTTCTGCCCCTCCTCCACTGCCTCCACCCTCTTGTCTCTCCCCCAAATAAAAAACCAAATGTGTACCTGGGCACTTGAAAGGAAAATCCAAAAATCAAGAGAAAATCTTGAAAGTGAAGAACATGTCACATGACTTGCAGAGGACGAGGTTACCGACGACGGTACCCACCCCTGACTTCTCGTTTGGAAGCAAGGGAAGTCCGAAGATGGTGGGACTCGAAAACAGGAATACCATACGACCCAACAATCCCACTTCCTTATGTCTAAAGGATTGAAAGCGGGGTGGCAAAAAGCTACGTGTACGTCTGTGTTCATAGCAGGATTACCCATGCCATCATTCATAACGGCGAATGGCGGAAGCTACCCATGCCCGCGGCTGACCAGCTGGATGGCCAATTTTGGTGGGGGGCACACGACAGAATGGTATTCAACCTTAAAAAGGAAGGAACTTCGGACACACGCTGTGCGATGAGTGAGCCTTGAGGGCACTGCTGAGAGCCAGTCACTGCTTACGCACTGCTTACCAGGCCTCCTAAAGCTGGTTGTGTGACACCCGCTCCGGCTCTGTCCCCAACGCTACTCTTCCCTGGACCCTGAGTCAATTGGAAGCACCCAGAGCCCGGAGGGGCTGTGCGCCGGTGAGTGGGAGGAGGCACAGACACCTGCACCACCCGTGTCCTTGTAGGAGGGCACGCCACAAGGACAGGGGCACCGGAAGTCTTTGTGGCTTCAGGCCTGGACTCCTGACCAAAGGCTGGATGGGGCCGTGCGGATACCGGCAGATGCCCGCGCGGACAGAGGACACCTAGGTCTGGAGAGCCGCCCTCTGGGCCTGAGCCGCCCAGGGCAGTTGCAACGCCGCGGAGCTGATGCAGCTTCTCTTGCCGGGATCCCAGCCACGACTCTCGAGGGCCCTGTAGTGGGTTCACGTGGTCAAACGTCGGCGAAATCCACGGACCTCATGTTAACGATCGGTTAAGGCCGCTGCCTCTTTCCAGGTAGGCTGTTCCTTCATCGCACTCTTGCCGGGGCCCACTGGGGAGACCACGGCATTTTTGGGCCCCCACTATGGCGATCTCGAGTTGGGATGCATTTAGTTGGGGTTTATGGGAGATTCTGAACCAGAAGTGAGTCTGCAAATTGGGAGCAGAGGACCTGGTTCTCCCCAACATCTGGATAAAGGGCGTGAGTGGGGAAGGCGCCGGGGCGCGCACCCGATACGTTTATCTTCTCCGATAAATGTATTCCATAACACAATTTTACGTACCGTATATCTTTTTTCTTTTAGACAGGGACTGCATTTGTCAGAATTCCCGTCTGTGGAGCAGGGAGCCCTAGCAATGCCACCAAGGGTGAGCGCATCTATGCAAAGCCCCAGGTGTCACCCAAACCAATGTCAATACCAAAGATGAGATACAAATTCTGTCAAACGGCCTAGGGAAATGTCTGAGGAGTCTTTCTGCTGTTTTCATAAAACCATTCTGCAAAGTCATGAGGTGGCCAAGAGAATACAGCCAAAAATGTAAGCAAAAGCATTAAAGACATGCATTTGACACTTCGTACAAATGTTATTTTCCCAAACTTTGTGATGCTTGAGGAGTCTGTCGGCTTTTGAAAACGTACTGACTCCTCATTACGTAAGTTATCTGTAAGCTAGTACTTACTGTAAAATAAAGCATCCGTTTTTAACATTATACAAAATAGACACGTTATACAAGAATATTAACTTTTGTAACTAAGCTTATTTTATCATTTTACTTTTTTTTTTTTTTTTGAGAGACCCTCCCCAAATTGCATATGCTTTAGGCCCCACCAAACCCGGATCCTCCCTCGTCCCCAACATCTTCGCAACACGTGACCGCAACTCCAGGGAAACTGAACTTCAAACTGCGTGCAGGGTGACGAAATAAAAAGCACGAAACAGAAACTGAGCTCAAATACAGAAAAGCTGAGGAGGCAACGTGTCCCTTGGCATCCAGTTTTCCGCATCCCCACCGCGCACGTGACCGGGAAGGGGGTGGTCCCTCCCCGTGCCCAAAGGTGGACCAGAGAGCTAGGTGTGGGCCCACCGAGCGCCTGCGGGGCCGCCAGTCCCCGACTGGGGTCGGGGCTCCGCGGTCCTGCCCTCTCGGCGCGCCCCGGCACCCTCCCCACTCACGCCATCCCTCCTATTGGCGCCCTCGCCCCCACCGCACCCCTGCTCTTCCTGCGCATCGCTCCACCGCACCCCTCCGCCTCCTAGGGGCCCTGGTCTCCCCTGCACACCGGTGCCCCCTCTCCTCCCCGAGTCGCCCCTCCCCACTTTCCCCCCAGCGGGGATCCGCTGTCCCCACCGCGCGCCCCCTCGCCCTGCCGCCAGCGTCCCCGGGCCTAGCCCAGGGCGCCGTCAGAGTACCCTCCGCGCCCGGGCCGCGCACGGCCCCGACACCTCCCTCCCCACGTCGCGCGCAGCCCGCCGATCCCTCGGACGAGCCGGGCGCGGATTGGCCTTGAGAAGAGGGAAGTGCCCGCCCCCCGAGCCGCCGGCCAATGGGGAGGCGGGGGCGGGCCGGCGGCGGGCGCCGGAAGCGGCCGAGCGACGAGGGGACGTCGCGTCGCCGGGTCTCGAGCAGCTGCCGCGGAGCCGCCGGACGGACCGCCGGACCTGCCTGCCCGCCATGGCCGAGAGCGACTGGGACACGGTGACGGTGCTGCGCAAGAAGGGCCCCACGGCCGCCCAGGCCAAGTCCAAGCAGGTGCGGCGCCGTGTGGGCCTCGGGACTCAGGGGCGGCCGCGCGGGCGGGGCGGCCGCGGGGCGGGGAGCCCGGGGATGGGGGACCCGGTAGGGACGGGGACTAGGGGCAGGGTGGGGACCGGGGACCGCCAGGGGGCGGCGGATCAGCAAGGGGCTTGCGTGAGGGGATTGGCGCCGGGGCTAGGAGACAGGAGACCGGCGTGAGGAAAATGGCCGGGCTCGGACAGTTACGACAGAGGCGGGGTACGGGCAAGGGCCAGGGCCCGGCCGCAGGGTATGGGACGACAGGTCGGCGTGGTGGGAGGACCGAGGGGTGAGGGAGATGGTGGGGGCGTGGACCGGCTGCGCTGGGGTGGGTGCGGAAGGGCCCAGCAGTCTTTGGAGCCAGGGACACAGGTCCGGGGGTGAGGCTGTAAATAGGGACAGGGACAGGGTGGACTTGCGGCCTCTGACAGCCGGGATGGGGGGGATGGGGGACCAGGTGAGGTTGAAGAGGTGGACCTGGGGGCGGGGACTGGGGACCGCGGTGCAGATAGGGGGCGGAGGCGGTCCGGAGGCTGCCTGTGGAGCATCGCGGAGGCGCGTTTCAGGCCATCGGGGGTCCCTGTGACTGGGCTGAGGTGGCCTAGAGACCCAGTGCTTCTGGGTCTTTCAAGTGTAGATGACACGCCCTGGGAGGTACTTGGTAACCGGTCTCTAGCTTGGTTAATCTATGCGGAATTTACCTGTGAAGCTTCAGTGACCACCTCTGCCGGGCCTGGGGCCTGCGCCCTGGTGCCCGGTCTGGGCCGGGACTGGGTGCAGCCCTAGCACCTGGCAGTCGCTGACCTGCCCTGACCTTATCATTTGCATGGTCAAAACCAAATTTGCTGTTCCTTTTTTTTTTTCCCCCAGAGGAAATTTCATAGCCATAAGCTAGGAATCACCCGAACATGTCTAGAAAGCATCTCTGAACGTATCACACTCAGAAGGGCCCCGGTCACTTCTCCGAAGCGTCAGAATTGTCAAGAAATGCGTTGCGTTAACTTTTGGCAAACGTAGACAGAAGGGTATTGCTTTCGTTGGTGATGTCTGGGGGCTGGGCTCTCCTCTCAGGAGTCAGGTCCACGGAGGAAGGTTGCACCAGGCCAGCGCTTGACCTTCCTTCCTGGTTTTGCAGGAGAGCCTAGTGGAGGAGTAGGTCCGCCGTGAGCACGGATTTCTCAGAGGAACCCGTCAGCCTGTGCTTGTCCGCAGTGAGGAAGCGAGGGGTGGGGGTGGCGGGCGCGGGGGTACCTCGTACCTGATAGCAGAGGGAGGGTTTTGCGAGGTGAGCTTGGGTTTCGCACCAGCCGAGCTTGTCAGTCTGGAAGCGCAGCAGTGCCTGGGGCCGTGGCTCCGAGCTGGGCTTCCCCGGGCTCCAGAGGCACCTGCCGTGGGCACCCGTGCTGTCCGGCTAACAGCGGCCTCAGCTGGTGTTTGCCAGACCCTGCCAAAGCCGATTTTGACCAGAACCCTTTTCTGAACGTTCTAGGCTATCCTAGCAGCTCAGAGACGGGGAGAAGATGTGGAGACTTCCAAGAAGTGTGAGTACTTGTGCTTCCTCACAAAACAAGGGTGCGCTGTCGGGGCATCTCTGTGACAGGCGCCCGCCTCGCCTGTGCTGCCCCCAGGGGTGTCGGGGCGGCTGCCGGCAGCTGGGGCCGCTGCGGGGCTGGGGGACGCCTGGGGTCTCAGCTGAGCAGCTGTGCTCACTTCCTGTAGTGAGGACAGAATTCTGGACTCCGTGCTCTTAAGCCTGTGACTTCCCCGTGTTTGGATACCTGGCTTCCCGTGTCTCCCTGGCACAGGTCGCTTGTCATGCCTGGTTCCCGTCTTGAAACGGCTTTGTTTTGGGTTTGTTGCAAACCCTGTCCTTTGTTTTTGTCGCATGCTGGTCCAGGGGCCGCCGGCCAGAACAAACAGCATTCGATCACCAAGAACACGGCCAAGCTGGACCGGGAGACTGAGGAGCTGCACCACGACCGAGTGACCCTGGAGGTGGGCAAGGTGATCCAGCAAGGCCGGCAGAGCAAGGGGCTGACTCAGAAGGACTTGGCCACGGTGAGCGCGGCAGGGTCGTCCTCCCAGGCTTGGCGGGGGGAGGGGGTGGGGGGAGGGGGTCGGGACTCAAGGCCTTGTTTGCCCTTGGCCCTGGGATTCTCTCTGGAAGCCAGGTCAGGGCGGATGTAAGTTCCTTTCCAGCATGAGGTGGCTTCCAGCGCGTGTAGCCCCAGCTGCTCAGTAAGGCCCTCGGCCGCGTGCTGCCTGGAAGGTGGTGCTTGTGGCGACTCCCTTGGCCGTGTGCTAGCTTCGTGGCCTCTTCTTACCGAACCGCTACGCGTGTGATACGTTTCTTTAGAAAATCAACGAAAAGCCACAAGTCATCGCGGACTATGAGAGCGGACGGGCCATTCCTAATAATCAGGTTCTGGGCAAGATCGAGAGAGCTATCGGTGAGTGTCTTTAGGTCCCTTATTGGGTCTCCGCTGCTGCCCTCTGACCAGGTGCCCTCACTGAGCACAGGATGGCCCCTGAGGCCGTGGAATTCTCCAGACCCCTAAGAAGCTCATGAGGGCACCGTCTTGGGCGCCTTCCCCTGCTTTCACCTTTCACGTCCTGTCTACCCCTCCCTCTGCTGCTGGCCAGCGCCCTCTGGGCCTGTGGACAGAGGGCTCAGTGGCCCTCCTGTTCAGGCACTTGTGTCCCCCCCCTCCCCTGCCGCCATGGGCATTGACTTCCTCTCTGGTGTCAGCATGGCCCTCGGCACGGGGAGCTCCCAGAGCGCTGGAGTCCCAGTTCTGGTTCTGGGAGGGGCGTCGGCCCTGTCCGCTGGGGGGCTGGCAGGTACACGTGGGGAGCTAAGCCCAGCCAGCACTGCTGGTGACCCTCCGCCTCCCTGCTCTCTCCCGCCTCCTTCCCTCCTTCCCTCCTTCCCTCCTTCCCTCCTTCCTTCCTTGCCATGGAGAAGGTCGTGCGGGCAATGCTGCCGTGTCAGGGCGGATGGGTGGGACGCTGTGGCGCCGCCCCGCCTCTTGGGTCCCAGACGGGGCGCCGTGGCGGTGAGCGGGCCAATGGCTCTTTCAGGCCTGAAGCTCCGGGGGAAGGATATCGGGAAGCCGATTGAGAAGGGGCCCAGGGCGAAATGAACACAAAGCCTCGAAATCAGTGCGTTCCGGCTGATCTCGCCTGGCTGGTTCCCCTTGACCACCGGTGCCAGCGTGGTCTCTTCACGTGGCCGAGCGGAACGCGGGGCGTCAGCCCTGCCCGGGAACCCCCTCTACCCTGCTGTCAAACAAAACCTTGCAAAGTATTGCTTCTCCTGATTTTTTTTTTCCTTCCCATCCCTGGTGTCTGCCCAGCCTCGGGGCGGCTCCCCGGGGAGCTCTGAGCGGGACCACCTCACGCTGGCGGGGCTGTGGGGTGGGGTGGCCTGACCCAGAAGAGAAGATGTCTTCTCCAGTCGGCTTTTAGAGAAGCTAATAAACGTGTTGCCCTTCCTGCTGGTGTCCGGTCTGATCTGCCGGGTCCCCGCGTGTGTCTCTCTCTGGCCCACGATGTAGGGAAGAAAGGGTTCTCCTGACATGCCCTGGGGAGTACTTGAGGGACCCTGAAGGTCACCCTGTGCGGTGCCGCTTCCTCGTCACCGTCTGCTGGGACAGGCCACAGGCTTTAGTCAGCCCCTTGATCCCGGACCCGTGCCCTCCCCTGGCGTGGAGTCTCCAGTGGGCTGGACGGCAACGTGGTCTCACCCCAGGCAGGAGGGGGCAGTTGGCTGTGCAGGTGTGGCTGTCTCCCCTTCCCCAGGACGGCCGTGCCCAGTGGGACCTTCCAGGCCCAGGCAGGGCCGTGTCAAAACTTCCTGTGGGGGTGCCTGGCTGGCTCGGTCAGTGGAGCATGTGATTTTTTTTTAAAGTTTATTTATTAATTTTGAGAGAGAATGAAGCGGGGAGGGAGGATCCCAAGGAGGCTCCACGCTGTCGGCACAGAGCCTGACCCAGAGCTCGAACTCATGAGGCCATGGCAGATCGTGACCCGAGCAGAAACCAAGAGTTGGATGCTTAACCGACTGAGCCACCCAGGTGCCCCAGAGCGTGAGGCTCTTGGTCTCAGGGGTCGTGGGTTCAGGCCCCACGTTGGGTTTGGTTGGAGCTTACTTAATGGATAAGTAATTTTTAAAAAAAATTTCCCTGGTGGAAGAGCAGAGCCGGGGACCCTCCCTGGGTTAGGAAGATTCGACTCCGTTGTACTAGGCAAGGAGGGAATGCAGGCACACCAGGGGCCTTGACCCCTCCGAGAGAGGGGGGTTGCCTTCATCCTTGGACCCCGGGAGGGCGGGAGCCTTGGGTTTGCCTTCCAGTGACCTCAGCAGCATCCCCAGGGCACCGAGTGACCTCTGGGACACATCATTCCGGGGACCACTCGGATTTGCCCACGGGGTGGTGAGCTCGGGGACACTTAACGGCACGGACCCTTTACCATGGGACAGTGGACGTGGGACCTTTATGTGGAGTCACGGACAAAGCAGGGCGTTTCCTCACCAGACCAGCTTTATGTCCCTGACAGCCGCTTCAGCGTTTGCTAGTCAGTCCGTGTCCGGGGTTTCTCTCTGTCCTGAATTAGAATCACCCAGCGAGGCAGGGGCTGGACAGGGCCTGGGTCAGATTCCCACAGGCTGGGCTGGACGGCCTGAGTGCTGGGGTGCCCGCCCGGCCAGGGGCTTCTCAGGGTCCCGCTGTATCTGCCTCTGGTGCCTCTAGCCCTCGGCCCCGTCCCGTGTGGCCTGCCTGTTACCTGTCAGCTGAGTCACTGAGACCTGTGGGAGGTGCCCCCAAGCACATCCTCTCAGGCAGGTTGGGTCAGTTCTGGGGATCCCCAAGAGCCCACCTTCCCGCTGACAGAGCAGGGTGCACAGACCTCAGCCAATAAGCGGGGGCTGCCCTCGGGGGCCAGGGCGTTTATTGTTGGGGTGAGGACCGTACCCAGGCACGCGGGTGGCAGTCTCGGTGCTGGGTGACCGCGTGGGGGCTCAGTGCGTCCTGGGGGAGGGGCAGGGGTTGTTCCTTGGGCTCTGTCTGCCAGGGATTGGGGGAAGGGGGCGGGGGGCGACCCTCTTGTGAGGAGCCAGAGTCTTCTCTGCGTCATCTACTGGCTGTCGGTGAGCGAGGCCGGCAGGGTGACACCGTCCTAGGAGGAAGGAGAGGGGCCTCTGACTGCCGGGTGGCCGCTGCGCGTGTGGACGGCCCTGGCCAGGGAGAGCGGACCAGGGGGCTTCTCCCCAGTCAGCCCTGCCCACCTGTCCCTACCCAGGGGCTCCTACCGCATTGAAGACGATGTTGTCAAAGCCGGGGGCCACGGCCGCTGTCTCGCCCCGCGACGGGCAGCCCCCCTTCTGCAGCCAGCGTCGTCCTGCCAGTCCTAGCAGGACGAGGAGGACAAGGACGACGAGGGCACCGCCGACCGCGGCTGGCACCGATGTGGCCACTACCGTGTCCCCTGTGGTCCGAGGACCGCGTGAGCCCGTGGACTCAAGCCCTGCCTGTCGGCCCTGTCCCCTGAGGCGGCACTTGGGACGTCCCATCCTTGAAACCCCGGCAGGTCGTGCCAGCACGAGGCTCCAGACCTGGCGGGGGTCACGGCCTCAAGCTAGAGCCGCCCCTCCATCACAAAGAGACAGGGGGCCGCGTGGGCTCCACGGGCAGGCTGGCCACGGCCGCCGGCCCACCGGGCACCTCCTCCAGGGTCTGGGAGTGGGCGCGGAGTGCAGAGGCCGGCTGAGAGCCGACTCAGCTCCTGAGGGACCAAGGGCAGGGGTGGCCCAGCCCAGAAAGGGAGGGGACAGTGGGCAGGGGGAGGGGCGGGGCAGGTCCCGCCTCGGTGGCTCCTGGCTCCTTGGGCAGCCGTGCAAGCCACAGGCTGCCAAGCCTGACGGAGTCCCGGATCTGGGGCGGGGCTGGCTGACCCGGGGAGCGCTCACCCCGGCCGGGTGCAGGCAGCTGGCAGTGCCGTCCGTCCAGATACTCGACGTCGTCCAGGGCGATGGGCCCCGCGGCTGGCTGGCCGCTTAGAGTGGCTTCAAACACGATCTGACCAGAGGGAGAGGGGGCTGGCTGCGCGGGCTGGAGGAGGAGGGCGGGGCCTGGGGCCTCCGCAACCGCCAGGCTCCGGGCAGCCCGGCCTCACCTGGAACTCCTCTGCGCTGGCCACCTCCACCTGGCCCAGCAGCCACTGGTGCCGCAGGCGCCCGCCCATGCTCCACACGGCCAGCTGGCCCCGGGCGCTGTTCAGGAGCACCCGCAGCTGGCCCTTGTCTGCAAGAAGGGGGCCGGGGCGGCTCAGGTCCCCAGCCCGGTGGGGCAGGGCTGCCCCCATCCGCCCTCGCCGCTTCCAGCACCCGTCGCTACCGGCCCGGCCCCACTCACAGAAGTGCTCCGGGAAGCCCATGTGGTACCAGAAGCGGAGGCAGGAGGCCTCGGTGGCGGGCAGAGGCTGGCTGTGCAGCCAGGCTGCCTGGCCCCCCGGGCCCAGCATGTGGGTTTCAAAGAGCACGAAGTGTCCTGGAGGTGAGAGGGACAGGGTGCCTGGCTCACTGGCCATGGCCCTTGATTCTGATGGGAGCCCCCACGGGCTGGGCCGGTTGGCCTGGGGCGGGGGGAGGGGGGTGCGTGCCCCCCCCCGGGGTGTGGGTGTGTGTGTGGCCCCGGAGCCCCTTGCCCACCTCGGACCCACCTGTCTCTGTGCCCAGAGTGTGATCCACCAGGGGCTGGGGGTAGCGGGAAGGTGCGGCCCCACTGCTCCAGTCCCAGCTGTATCCTCCCAGGCCAGGCCAGGCCAGATGACTCCAGCCACACAGGCCAGCCTCAAAGTCACAGGAAGCTGCGGGAGACCTGGGCAGTGAGCAGGGGTGCCCCCACGCCCCCGGGGAGCCCGGCCAGTGAGCGCTGCTGCCTCCCCTCTGTGTCCTGCTGGGGCCAGGGGGCCAGGCCAGGCATCTGCCGGTCCGCACTGGAGCTGGTACCAGCCGCGGGTCAGTCACAAGGGGGCCCGGGGCCCGGCCGTGGGGCTCCCACCTGGCTGAGGGCAGGGCCCGTCCTGGAGGAGCAGGTCGTCCAGCGCGATATAGGAGTGCTCCACGCCGGTGGCTACCGCCTGGAACACCACCTGGGCAGAGACAGGGCAGCCTCGTGCGTGGTCCAGGCGGGCCCCGGAAGCGAAAGGTCACCTGCCCCCAGCACTCACCCTCCAGGCCCTCTCGGCCTGCACGTCCACACTCCCCAGGCGCCAGGCGGACCCTCCGTGGGCACTGATGCTGAGCACCTGCTGCCTCTCGGCCTCCCCCACGTGGACCTGCAGGGCGCCTGCCACGCCGAGTGACCAGCCCAGGTCAGCAGCAGTGGGGGGGGGGGGTGTTGGCCGCTCGGGGGCCCCGGGCTGCAGACCCCTCACCTGGGTTTCTGAGGCTCAGGTGGTACCAGAAGGTCAGGCAGGCAGGCCGGGCCAGAGGCTGGTGCTCCTCTGAGGTCAGGGAGGCCACGTGGCCGGGGGGCAGGGCCTGGGGGCTCGTGTCCACCACCATGTAGTGCCCTGGGAGGCGCCAGCGTCAGCCCCCATGTGGCCCCCTCTGCCCACCCCTCCGTCACCCCCGATGCGAACCTTGAGCCGTCCCCGTGGTGTGGTCAGCGCGGGGGCCCCGGACGGCATGGCCCGTGGCATTGGGCTGGCGCGTCCAGAGGCCTTGGCCCCCGCTGGAGAAGCCACAGGCTGAGTCCTCAAAGGAGCACCGCCTGGGGGCCCAGCAGGGCCCGGGCCGCAGGGCCACGTCGTCCAGGCCCATCGTGCCGTGGTAGCCGTCCCGGGAGCCCTCGAACAGCAGCTGGGGGCAGAGGGGGTGAGCGGCTGTGGGCTGGCCCTGCCCCCCACCGCCCTGGCGTGGGGCCTCACTTGGTACTTGGTGCCAGAGCCCGGCTGGTGGTGGAGGGTGGCCCAGGCCTCATGCCAGTGGTTGCCGTGGGTGCCGGTCCGTGACCACAGGAGCGTGTCTGCCTCTCCTTCCCGCCTCAGCACCAGGCGCAGTGTCCCTAGACGGGGGGGCGGGGGTAGGAGGGGACCAGAGCCCGACTCTTGAAGGCTTCCGCCCCTGCAGAGCCCCGGACCCGGGAGGCCCTGCCCAGCACCAGGGTCGCTCACCGATCTGGGGCCCGTGGAGGTGATACCAGAAGGAGAGGCACTCCTGAGGAGCTGTGGGCACCTGGGGCTGGGTGAGCAGGTGGGCACCAGGGCCCCGGGCTGGGGGGTCCGTGGGGTTCAGGAGCAAGAAGTAGCCTGCGGCAGGGACACCGGGCTGAGCTGCAGAGACCCCGGTTCCAGGAGGGGCTTGGCCCAGACCGAGAGCCGCCCCCAGGCTTGGGTGCCCCTGCCCTACCTCGGCCTGTGGTGTGGTCGTACCCGGGGCCGTGGCTCTGGATCCGGCGCCAGTGGGCATCTGTGAGGTGGCCGGTGTACCAGCCGCACGTGTCCCGCTCGAAGTTACAGGAGACCTCTGAGGGCGGGGCCGCGGTGGGGTCAGCACGCCCCGAGCACCCTCATACCCGCCCTGTGTCCCTAGAGGGTGTGAGAATTGCTCTCTGGGGTGGGGGCTCCCAGGGTCCCTCGAGGTGGTGACGGGGGGCGGGGGGGAGAGGCCCCCGGGTAGGGGCTGGGAGCGGGCAGAAGGACCTGAGTCCTTCTCAGTGGCTGTCACGGGGCTGCAGTCCTTCAAGGTCACATCGTCCACTCCAGCGCCCTGCCGGCCAGGGCCGTCCAAGTCCACCAGGCCGACAAACTCCAGCTTCGTGAGGAGCACAAGGGAGGGGGCTGTCGAGTCAGCGCTGGCTCTGTGACCCACCCCCCCACCCCACCCCCGCCCCCCAGGCGGCCCTCCTTACGCGGAAAGGCCGGCGGCGTGCCCCAAGAAGGACTCTGTCCATCCTCCAGCCCTGGCTGCTGCCCGGGGCCTGCCACACCAGCTCACGGTTGCTGTCCTCCACCACGACCAGGGCCAGGAAGCCTGGCCGAGGGGGTCACTGTGGGTCTGCCCAGCCCTCCTCCCCCACCCTCCCGCAGGGTGCCTCGGGGCGGGGTGGGCCAGAGGGACGGGGCGGGGGGGGGGGTACCTTGGGGGTGACTCTGGAAATAGTAAGCCATGTGGAGCTCACAGCGGGGGCCCGAGGGACCCAGGGGAGGTGTGAGGACCCGGGCCTCTGCCGCGAGCTGTCCCCAGGCCCTCTGCAGGGCCAGGAAGTGCCCTGAGGAAGAGCAAGGCCTCTCAGAGCCAATTCCTGCCAGGGCCCCCCCCCCCGCCCCCCTCACCCTGCCGCCCTGGGCAGGCACACTCCCTGGTGAGAGGAGGCACAGCGAGGTCCCCTCTGGGGGCGCAGTTCGCAGATGGGGGGACTCGGGCCTCACCAGCAGCGGTCCTGCGGGCGCCTGCGCCAGGGTCCCGGCTCTCCTGGGCCAGGAGACGCCCCCACTGCAGCCGCCCCACGCTGGCATCCTCCCAGCCCCCCGCTGTGAGGGGCTCGAAGTCCGTGGTGCCTGGAAGGGCAGTAGCAGGGAGGGTCGGGGAGGGTCTGGAGGAAGAGAGGGCCCCCCTGCCTCCCGCCAGCTCCGGCCGCCCCTCACCACAGTCCTGCTCATCCTCGCCCCCCTCGCACTGTTGCTGGAAGTCACAGAGCTGCTCTGGGGGGACGCACAGGTCCCCGCAGGAAAGATGTCCCGGCTCGCAGAAGTCCCGGGGCCGCAGGCTGGACGGCTGGCGCCAGGGGGCTGCGGCCCAGAGCCCAAGAGGTGATCCAGACACCTCTGTGGGGACAGAACAGGGGTCAGGGGGGTGGGTTGTGCTTCTCCTGGAGAGGGAGGGGCTCAGCGGGCCCACCTGGGACTGGCTGGCAGTGGTCCGACAGGATGAGGTCATCCAAACTCACGACACCGCCTGGGCCTGTGTGCCCAGTGAGCAGAATCTGAGGGCACAGGGGACTCAGGGTGTGCCCCCCCCCCCCCGCCCGGCACCCTACTGTCATCCCCAGGTCGGCTCTGCCAGCCCTCCCCCTGCCTGGCCTCGCCTCGTGTCACCGGATACCCTCCCCTGTCACCACCCCCACGCAGGCCTTGAAAGCGACCCCTCCTTCCCTGGGCCTGCTCCCAGAGCTTCCTGCTGACACAGCCTGGGGTTGGGGGGGGGGGGCTCTGATCTCCCCTGCCCAGCTTTCCAGGGGGCGGGGGGCCCTCTGGGACCTCCTGCTCGCCCACCCCTCCCTGGCCGCCGCCCTCTCGGGCCTCACCCGGAAGGGGTGCTCGCTCTGGATGTCGACCCGGTCTCGGACCCAGGCGGCCCCCAGCTCCCCGTGGCGCCTGCGCAGCAGGACGGGGCCCTGAGGGGAGCCTGGGCTCTGAATTTGCAGGAACAGCTGGAGGCAGCCACCCTCAGACCCGTGCAGGTAGTGGTAGAAGATAAGCTGAGAAGAGGCCAGGGAAGGTCAGGGAGACCTCCGGGCCTGGGCAGCCAGGTCGGGCGGCCCCGTGTCCCCCACCCACCTCACCGAGCACTTGTGGGGGCCTGAGGCTTGGAACTCGGGGCTGGAGAGGACAGCGGGGGCGCTGGGCTCGGCCACGGAGACCAGGAAGGAGCCTGGGGAGACACCAGACGTGGGCCGGGGTGGCCGGGCGGGGCCCCGGTGGGCGCTCCCCGGCGGTCCCCCGTGGGCCTCACCCTGCGCGCTATTGCGGCTGTGGTCCCGGCGCGGCCAGGCTGGCGGCCTGGGGCCGGCGCTGTGGTTCCGGGCCCAGCCCTCCGAGTGGTTCCACGGGCCCAGGCCCGTCTCGAAGTCGGTGGCCGTGTGGCGGCCTGTGGGGGAAGCAGGGTCAGGCTGCCGGCAGGGCCCGTACCCCCCCTGTCCCGCTCCGTCACGCTCCCTGGTGACCCCCAGCAGCCCCTCCAGCTCACGGCAGGTGGGCGTGTCCTCATCTGAGCCGTCCCCACAGTTGTCCTCTCCGTCGCACAGCTGGTGGGGCTCCACGCAGGCCATGTTCCCACAGTGGTGGTACCCCAGGGGGCAGCGTGCCTGGGGGGCTGACATGGCGGAGGGGCAGCCCGTCACCGTGACCCCAAGACCCCGGGGGCCGGGGCAGCTGGGGGAGAGGCTCAAGGCCATCTGGGCCCTGCTAACCCACTGCCCCCCAGGTGTGGGTCCGCGGCACGGGGGCCTTACTGGGCAGCCCACAGCCCCGGAAGACCACGTCGTCCAAGGCCACGGTGCCCCTGTGGGTGGCATTTCGGGTGGCAGAGAAGGTCACCTGAAAAGAGTGGGGTCCTCAGGACTTAAGTCAGGGCTCAGACCCTCCCTGCTCCCTCCACATCCAGACCACCCCCAGCTCACCCAGAAGTCGCCCCGGATGCGGCCAGTGGCCACCACCAGCTCCTGCCAGCCTGGGCCCCAGGGCCCAGAGCTCTGCCACAGGGTCAGCGTCTCGGCCCTGTGGGTCAGCTCCAGCCGCAGCTCAGCCACATCTGTAAGTGGGGGGGCGGGGGGTCCTGGGGCGGCTTGGGCCCCGCTGCTTCCCGCAGCCTGCTGGCTGTGCCCTGCCCTAGGACCCTTGTCCCTCCCTTGAGGTACCTTCCCGGTCTCTGCGGCGGCCCTCTGTCCTTTCCCAGTCCCTCCCCTCGGGGCGCCCCACCCTGGTGGAGGAGTCCTGGGCACCCACCTCTGGTGGCCGTGTGGTGCCAGAGCCTCAGCTCACAGGTGGGGGCGGCGTCGCGCAGGACAGGGGAGCGCAGGGCTGCCGTGGACGCCTCTTTCCCGCGGTGCGTGCCAACAGCCGTGTACCAGCCTGGCCGGCAGAGAGGTCAGGAAATGGGGCTGGAAGTGAAGGGGGGAGGGGGCATCACGGACACCCGCCAGGGCCTCACCGAGGTCTGTGCCGAGAGTGTGGTCTGAGCGCGGCCCCAGAGGCTCCAGTGTGGCTCCTGCCCGGTCTCGCAGCCACCTGTAGCCTGAGGTGCTGATGTCCCGCCAGCCGCAGGAGTCTCGCTCGAAGTCACAGGCGAAGGGGGCGCCCGGGGCGGGCGAGACCCCGTGGTAACCTGGAAAGTGGGGGGCTCAGGGCTGTCTGCAGAGGGCTGGCCTGCCCGCCCCCTGCCCGCCCCACCGGGCCCCAGCTCACCGCACTGGGCCTCGTCGGAGCAGTCTGGGCAGTCACACACGAAGTTGCACGCGGCCTCGCTGGGGGCCCTGCAGTCGTTGGGGACCCAGGCCCGGCCTGGGGGCCCTGCTGCTAGGAGAGAGACAGGCGGGTGGCCTGGGGTGGGGTGACCCCCCCCCCCCCCAATCCCAGGCGGCCCAGATACTGTTCACCTGCTCTGAGGCCTAGGAGGAGAGGTCAGGGAGGGAGGGGGCTGGGTCCTGCCAGCTGGGGGCTCCCGGTCAGGGCCAGGCAGGGCACACCTGGCCCGGGAGAGGCGGGCTGCACGTCAGGATGGGGGCGGGGGGGTCGTGAGCATGGGACCAACGGTCCCCGACACGGGACGCCCCCCGAGGAAGGGAGCAGGAACCCACCAAGGAAATGCCCCCAGCCCCCTCAGCCTCCATTTGCTCCAAGAGTGGCAGACTAGGCTCTGCTTCCAGGGCCCTCTTGCCCTGGGACCCGGGTGACACTGGGGCCAGGTAAAGCAGAATTCGTGTCCCTTCCCCGATGGGGCAACCCCCAGGCCCCCAAAGGCTTGTCCTGGGCACCCCCCGAAGGCCACCCAGGGCCTTGCCCCTCTCCTGGGGAGGAGACGTGACACTCACCCAGGAGCAAGGCCAGCAGGAGGTGGCGGGGCAGACGCATGGTTGGGCCAGGGGAGTGAGGCGGAGGGACCGCGCACTCCAGGCGGCCTCGCGGGGATTCCGCCCGGTTATCTGCCTGTGGCCCCGCGGGCTGAGTCTGCTCTGCTTGAGGGGGGGACCTGGCCCCTTCTGTACCCGTTGCCCGTCAGCAGGCCCCGCCCTGTGTTGATGAGGACGAACGTCCGACTGTAAAAGCGTCCAGGAGAGGGGCCCCTGGCCCAGGTAGGCTCGCACCCGCCCGGATCCTTCTGACCAAAGGTCAGGCCTCGGTCATCACGCCCACCGCCCCAGCCCTGCCTGGCGGAGGCCCCACCAGAGGAAGCACCCACTCGGGCTTTGTCTCCCAGAGCTGGGGGCAGGAGCCCAGCACGCACCCCCCACCTGTGCCCCCAGGCCCACGTTCCGTGCCTCCCTGCCCCAAGTGACCAGGGACTTGGTCCTTCCCCACCACAGTCTGTGGCTGCCTGTTCGCTTATTCCTTTGTAAGGGACGATCATTTATTCATCAACAACTGTTCTGATTAGCGTGGCCGGGTGCTGCCGGGCACAGGGCATTTACCACCATGTGACCTCGGTCTTACCAGATCCTGTCTCCTCATCACTAAGATGTGGTCACGACAGCCTGGAGAGGCCACCGTGAGCTCACGGAAGGCCTGCGCCAAGATGGCACCCGTGCTCACGGGGAGCCACAGAGACAGCTGTGCTCGGCTGTCCCCTCATCCACACATCCACTTGCCACAGCTCGTCCCCCCTCAGCCCTGCACTGGGAGGAGAGGAGGGGGTCCTGGAGGGGGGCTCCCGGCTCCAAGCCTGAACCCTCAGAGCCTGTGGCTGCCGGGCGGGTGCCATGGGACCCGGTCTCACAAGGGGTCTGGGAAACCTCACGTGACTTCAAACGGCAGATCACGAGGGGACACTGATGTCAGCTGGCCCTGGGGGACCTGGTGCTAACTCCTTGCGCAAGGGCTCATCAAAGAGTTTCCTCCCAGATGTCCTTGGACACAGGAGGGGTGGAGAGGAGCAATCAGGCCATAAATGGGGGCAGCAGCCCAGGGGCCCCCTTATCAGAGAACAAAGGGCTGAGTGTGCCACCCCCCCCCCCGGGGCCCCCAGATGTGGAGCCAGGTGAGGGACAGCCAGTAGGGGCCCTGCGGCTACCAGGGCCGCCTCCAGCTCTCTGTCACCCACACCCTCCGGCCAGGGGTCCCCAGGGGTGACCGGGAAGCAGACAGATCAAGACACACACACATCTGAGGAAGAGCAGGGGTGATAACGTTTTTAATTCCTGCAGGTGAGGTAAACCTGGGCGCTCGGCCCGGCTGCTGCTGGTCTCCAAGGCCTGGCCCGGGGTGCGTAGCGCCAGGGGGTATAGTGGGTCGCTCGGGCAGGCCTCAGTAACCGTCGTCGGCCCAGGTGACCTCGTAGTCCGGGTACACGGCTTTGATCTTCTCAGTGGAGACGGAGTGCTGGGCACGACCATAACCCTGAAGACAGAAGCCGACGCTCACAGCCCCGTCCTGGCTCTGGGCGTCCATCGGCAGCAGCACCCAGGAGGCGGCTACGGAGGGGGCCCGCTGGAGCCGGACGTGGCCAGCCCTCCCTGAGCGCCCAGGGTAAGCTGGCCGCCAAGGTGAGCAGTCCTTGCGCGTGGGCCCTCCGGCCCAGGGCGCGGCCTATCCTAGGTGCCGAGAGAGGCTGTGTGAATGCCCCTGGGTCTCCACTGTGGCCTGGTGACGGGACGGGGGGGATGGCCCAGCCAGGCCTCGTGGAGGACCGGGACGAGGCCCGCTGTGGCTGAGGGGCAGGCAGTGGCCTCCCTCCCACTGCTCGTGGCAGATGGGGAAGCCACTGGCGGGAGGGGTCCGCGGCCCAGACAGCCGGAGAACCCCCAGTGCCGCAGGTGTCCTCAGCGCGGGGCAGTGAGGGCTTGTGAGAGCTGGTCCCTCCCCCCCCACCCCCCTCCGCGGGCCGGGGGCTCACCATGGAGTAGCCGTACACGTGGATCTTCTTGTCCTGGCTCTGGTGGGAGATGCGCCCGCCTCCCAGGCACTCACAGCTATAGCCCTTCTTCTGCATCTCGCTCGATACCTTGTCATAGATGTCGGCTGGGACAGGGAAGGCGGCTCAGCACGTGCCACGGCCCGCGGAGGCCCGCGGGATCTGGAGCTCCGGCTCTGGGCAGCTCCTTCCCCAGGAGAGGAGCCCCTCCGGGCTGGGACGCCATGAAAGGAGGAAGGCGTGCACCCGGGCAGGAGTCCTGGGACTAGGAGACACGGGTCGCGCCATGGCGGCCCCTCGCCCTCCAGGACCCTTGCCCTCAGACCGGGTACAGGACCGCCTCTCTCGACGCCGCCTCATTCCCCGCCCAGGGCCCTCAGCCCCGCCCCCGGACGCCCTCAGCCCCGCCCCGAAAACGCCGGCCGGCCCCGCCCTCACCGTGGTACTCGGCCCACTTATAGCCCCGCACGATCTCCTTGCTCTTCCCGGCCGGGGCCTCGGAGGGCGGCGCCGTGTGAACTCGGATTAGCACGTACTTGAAGACGCCGTCGGGATCGATGTCCACATCGGCTATCTGGGCGAGGTCCGCCGCCGCCATGTTTCCCACAGCCCGCCCGCCCCGGCAGCCCGCGGCCCTTCCCGCAGCGGCCCTGGGTCGAGTCGACCGTGCGGGAGGCGGGCCCTGGGAGCCCGGGCCCAATCCCGCGGGGCCTTGCTGCCCGGGCCCGGAGCTTCAGCCAATCGTATCGCCGACCCACAACACAGACTGGCCAATGGCAACCTAGCTCCTTGCCACTCTGAGGCCACGCCGGTCCCGCTTAAAGGGGAACAGGGACCCGGGAGTGGGCGGTGATTAAATCAAGCTAACTTAGCAGTTCTTTTTTAGTGGGGACTGGGAGGCGGAGTGGGTAGCGGGAACGGTGGCAGGCTCCTTTAGAGGGGCTGGGCGGCTCATGAGGCCCAAGCGACAAGCGCCCGTCCCGACCCCTCCCCCACCGCGTCCCAAGACCTCTCCCTCCGTCTTCCCAACGCGCGTTCCAAGGCCTCCCTCTCCCTCCCAAGGCATCCCAAGGCCTCCCTCCCTGTCCCCCGCCGCGTCCCAAGGCCTCCCT